ACACACCGGGGATTGATTAAATAAATAAATATAATAAGGCCAATGGGATCCAGGTTTCTCAGTGTCAAAGAAAAGGCTTACATATTTGGAAAAGGAGATAATCAGAACAAACTCTGAGGTGCTGCACTAGAACTGATGGGATCAGTATACACTCATGATTAGATAGGTAGGTGGTAGGTAGGTAGGTAGATAGACAAACAGATAGATAAATAGATATAGACAGATAAAATGCAAATGAATGCATACATTATCCTACCTCTCTCCACTGAGAAATCCCTGAAGCACTAAACTCCAAAAGCAAAGAGCACATCTAATGCCCAGATCTTGTATTCTAAATGTCATTCTCCACTAAAACATCTCAGGGCTGAAATGGTTGATTTCAGGGCTAAGGCAAAGAATGAGATGAACTTGTTAATATCTTGTACCAGAAATAAAGTCAAAAAGTGATGAAGACATGTTAAGAAAACACATAAGTGACATGGAAGGGGTTTTCAGCAGCTAAACTGCAAACAATTTGAACATCAAGATAAATTATAGTAATGAATTAAGGCCCATAATAATCAATAGTAAAATACAATAAATTGAAAGTTTGATGAGGAATGAGATACTTGCAAAGTCTCAAAGAACTTTCCCACAAAATATTTACTAATTACCAAGGGGAGGGGACTAATTTAATATCTGAGAATCCTGACAGACGTATCTTTAATCAAGTGACCATCAATAACAGGACAAATCAAACTTGTGTGTCACCCTGGCCGGTGTGGCTTGGTTGGTTGGAACATCGTCCCATATACAGTTGTGGGTTCGATCCCCAGTCAGAACAAATGCAGAGGGCAGCTGGTCGATGCTCTCTCTTGCATTGCATCTCTCTGTCTCCCCTCACCCCCGCTCTGCTCCTTCTCCTCTCTCTAAAACTAATGAACATACCCTCAGGTGAGGATTTTCTTTTTTTTTTTTTATCCTCACCCGAGGACATTTTTCCCTTTTTTGTTCAGATAGAGTGGGAGGGAGAGAGAGGAAGAGAGAGAGAGAGAGAGAGAGAGAAGCATCAATGCGAAAGGGACACATCGAGTGGCTGCCTCCCACACGACCCCAACCAGGGCCAGGGACAAACTGCAACTGAGGTATGTGCCCTTAGTGAGAACCGAACCCGGGTTTCTCTGGACCGCAGGCTGACGCTCTAACAGCTGAGCCAAACCAGCCAGGGCTCAGGTGAGGATTTTCAAAAAAATAGTGTGTGTCATCTGATATGATTCTGTGAGAATAAAACAGCACCATTATTTTTTTTTTAATCTTGGTAATTTTTTTTATTGTATTTTTGTTACAGATGTTTCTCCTTTTTTACCCCATTGACACCCTCTTCCCCTTCCTCCCCTCCCTGTCCCCGGCTTTGTTGTCCATGTCCATTGGTTATGCGTACATACATATAAGTTCTGTGGTTTATCTCTTCCCTCCCCCCACCACCTCTTCTTCTGAGGGTTGTCAGTCTGTACCCTACTTCCACGTCTCTGGGTCTACCCTATTCCTCAGACTTTTATGTTTATCATAGTCCACAAATAAGTGAGATCATGTGGTATTGGTCTTTTTCTGCTTGGCTTGTTTTACTTAGGATAATACTTTCCAGGTCCCTCCATGTCATCTCAAAGGATAAGAGATCTTTCTTTCTTACAGCTACGTAGTACTCCACTGTGTATATGTATCACAGCTTTTTTATCCATTCGTCTACTGGTGGACACTTGGGCTATTTCCAGATCTTAACTATTGTAAATAGAAAACAGCACCACTCTTCAAGGTGTTCCTGTCAAAAGCTAATGATTCAGTCTTTTTCAACTGAACCACAGAACACAGTGACTATTTTCTCAACTTTCTCGAGAATGTTACATAATTAATACCATTGTAGGTATTGGAAAAAGTTAATTTTTTCATACAATACATGCCAAAGGATGTTAGGGCTTAATTATTTTCCAGAATCCTGGTTAGAAAAGGCCCAGAGGTACATTCCATAAAACAACTGTCTGTGATCTTCAAAATGTCAAACTCATTAAAGACCAGGAAAGATTGCATTGCTGCTCCCAACTGAAGGAGGCTAAAGATGGATGGTAATCTATACAACAGATGATTCTGAACTGTATTCATTTGCTCTAAAGGACAGTATTGAAACAGCTGGGGAAACCCAACTGGAATTTAAGGATTAGATGATAGTATGTAATGTCAATGGCTTGATTTTCATGGTTGTCCTATAGTTATGTAGGTAACTGTCCTTATTTGTAGGAAATATACAGTAAAGTATTTGGCATGGTGGAACATTATGATGACAAATTACTTTCAAATAGGTCAGGAAAAAGACGGTGTGTAAACTGTGCCTATAGACTTTCAGTAAATTTCTTATTGTTTCAAATATTTACAAATGAATAAATAAAAAACTGAACAAATATAAATCCATCACTATCCTCACTCCTTCCCTATGTTCCTCATCTCAGTAAGCAGTTCCACCATTTACTCATCAAGTTGCCTAAGTCAGAAATCTAATGTCATCCTTGACTGCCTCTCTCTCCACTACAATCTACATCCAATTAACGTCTCCTTCTGCACCCACATGTTATTGCAGAAAGTTATCTTCTGGGAAACTATTAGCACTACTCAGGCAAGGAATATTTCTTTCCTCCCTGTCCTTGTGAGTAAACACATGTAAGTCCTAATAAAAAAATGTACATATACACTGTATATGCAAACAGAGTATAAGAAAATATACTTAAACATATTATAAAACAATGATGACCAAATGTATAAATTTTTGAAAAACAATGTTTTCTATCACTTAAATAGCTGTTTATTAATAACTAAACATTATTTTGGAGAAGAAAGCCCTATTGTAAAATAAATAAATAAATAAATAAATAAATAAATAAATAACAATTCAACTAATTAATGGGCCTTACATTGACAGACTGGACATTGTATATAATACATTTAATGCTCTTTTTTTTTTTTTTTTTATCCTCACCTGAGGACATTTTCCATTTTATGTTCAGGTAAAGTGGGAGGGAGAGAGAGGAATAGAGAGAAAAAGAGAAACATCCACGTGAAAGAGACACATCGAGTGGCTGCCACCCGCACAGGGCCGGGGACAAACTGCAACAGAGGTATGTGCCCTTAGCGGGAACCGAACCCGGGTCTCTCTGGACTGCAGGCCAATACTCTAACCGCTGAGCCAAACCAGCCAGGGCCATTTAAAGCTCTTTTAAGTCTCGTAGTTGTGAAGAAAATTGTGTGGGTATTTTCTACCTCTCTACCTTATAGTGAGTTTCTTTTATAAATTATAAGCTAAAAATTCCAGCTTCAAAGTAAAAATTTTTAATTACATGACTGTACATTTCTACTTACTGACCACACTCTTACTCTAAATTTAACTATCCTGTTTTACCATTGCTACTTTTCAGTTTCATCATAGGTCTCCTTTGTTTAGTAAAGTACATAAGATAATACACTAAACAAATGCCTAGAGTTTTTCTTTTAATTATTAAGGGAAAATTAATTCATTTTTTCAAGACTTAAATTTATGCAAGAACTTAGTCCACAGCACTCACCATTGTCCCTGCTTTCTGATACCTTGCAAGTACCCAGAAATAAACTTTTCTGTTATCTACTTGCAAAGTTGTTCAAAATGTTTATTAAATGTAAACTATGAAACTATATTAAAAATACAGATAAACAATATTTCAAGTTTCATTTAACTTCCCCAAATTCTTACAGCCAAGTACTCTGCTCTCTGCTATGGCACCAATTGCATTTTTCCTAAGCAATGAAAAGCAGGCTAGGAGATTCTGTGTGCATCAGTTGTAAATAATGCACCAAATGGAATATAAGTATAAAAATGCTGGAAAGAGATAGATGTGTTTTTAATACAATTAGTACTTTCTAACCACAAAACTTTATTTTAGCACAGGCCAGTAATTCTTACTTACTTTTACTGGGACTGGACAATAATACATCAAGATGGTAACCTTTTGGCCACCAGTGCACATTTACAAAATTATGGTCTGAACTTAAATCTTATGTTTAATTCATCAGTCTCATGTGGTTTCATGTGATTATCTGGAAAAACTTAACATAAGATTCTACAACCTTACAATAAAAAAAAATGCTTAAAAATAACATTCCATTATCAATTTATCACATATCAATAAACAGTCACTGAGTATTTATTATATGTTGAGCACTATGCTAAGTGCTGGAGGTACAAAAACAATTAACACTTGAGCACTAGATAAGACATGAAGAGTATCCCTGAGAGGCTTGGAGTATCATGAAAGAGACAATCCATGTAAAAACTACATAAAAGATTGTTAAGGAATAGGGTTTTTAAAAGGTTCTGTGGCCCTGGCTGGTATGGCTCAGCGGTAAGTCGCCTATGGACCAAAGAATCACAGGCTCGATTCCGGCCAAGGGCACATACCTCAATTGTGGTTCGTCCCTGGCCCCAGTTGGGGTTGTGCACGTGGCAACCAATCGATGTGTCTCTCTCTTGTTGATGTTTCTATCTCTCTCTCTCTTTCTCCTCTCTCCCTCCAGCTCTATCTGAAGATTAATGTAAAAGTATCCTCAGGTGAGGGTTAAAAAAAATAAAATAAAAATAAAAGGCTCTGTGGCCAAAGCCAGTTTCACTCAGAAAATATCACTGGGTAAGGATTAATAAATAAATAAAATCAAAGGTTCGGTGAACATAGAAGAGAAACACATAATCCAAACTAGGAGAGTAGATGGTTACAGAAGCCTTCTTGTTGGTGATATCAATAAATAAGCCTAGTGACTTGCTTGCAATATGGCCTAGTGATTAAGAGCACAGGTTCAAAAATAAGCTGATGAACAAAACAGACACAGAGACATAGAAGTGGGGTTCAGACTGACAAACCTCAGAGGAGGGGAGGAGGGAAGAGATAAACCAAAGAACTTACGCATATAAGCATAACCAATAGACATAGACAACAATGCTGGGGTTGGAGGACAGGAACAGGAGGAGGGTGTCAATGGGGAAAAAGGAGAAACATCTGTAACAAAAATAAATTAATTAAAATCTTGTGATTTAGGGGGAAAAAAAAGAGCACAGGTTCAGCTGGCACCACCTGTTACTAGATGCATGAAATTGGTCGAGTTATTTAATCACTCTAAATTTGTTTCCTTGTTTATATAATGGATATACTATAACAGCATTACCTCATAGGGCTGTTGACAGGACCAAATAAGATAATGAGCAAAAAAAAAGGCTATAAAGTAATAATTATATTAAAATATACTGGTATTCCAGGTGTTATAATGAGGATCTTTTTCTCACTCAAACACACACACCCCACTTAAGTGTACAAGCTGGTGGTTTCTGGACTTCGAAGCTAATTTATACAAGTCCTATACACCCATAAGAAAAAAAAAATGCCTCATCCCATCAACCTTGACCCCCTCCTCCCATCTTCTGTTATCAGCCAGACTTCCCAATCCCCCAAAAAGTCTTCTTTACTTCCTGTCATTACTAGACATGCCTGTACCATGCCCACTCTTTGAAAATAAGCCTAACCACTGAGGACTCTCCGGACTCTCTGTCCACCATAACTCTCCTCTCATCTTTCTCTGTTCCCACACTCTCCAGAGGATATATCCCTTACTCTCACACTACTCTCTGAGGGTCTTTCTTACCTTTGATTTTGTGATTTTATGCAGTTAATTTAACCAGCTTTGTCCTCCAACGACTGGCCACCATGAGCCAATGGCCAACATTTAATTTCATTTGGAGTGAACATCACTGCAGAGACAGACAGAAAAAAAATGTGATTAGAATACTAAAGTATTGAGGTTTGTGCAGATGAGAAAGGCTAGTGCTAGAAAAAATGGTATGGCCTTTGTTCTTTCACACATTATCCTCTTTAGCATCATGACTCTATTTTACAATCAGTCTTCCACAACCTCCTCCCATTAGCTATTTGTCTATAAAGTGACTCCTTCATTTGCAGAAAGACCTAAGGGAGGGGGCAGGGCGCAACTCAGTTTCTTCTTATACATTCACTTTTCTAAGGGCTTCTTCCATGTTACACCAAAACAGATCTAAATAATAGCAAAAATAATAATACCATATGAAAAATTAAAGTTAAAAGACTTCTCACTAATCAAGTAGCCTGCTGATAGAAATAAAGCATTCCTTATTTCTAAGAGTTATGTAAAAGGTATGATTTGGACAACAAAATTATTATGTAAAATGGTATCTATTCTAGCTTCCAAATTTTGTTTCTAACCCACACCCTATAAAACTATTTTGGTGCCCTGGCTGGTGTGGCTCAGTTGGTTAGAGCGTCATCCTGGACACAGAAGGATCACAGGTTCAATTCCAGTCAGGGCACATTTCCAGGTTGCCATGGTCAGAGGCTCGTACAGGAGGCAAACAACCAGTGTTTCTCTCTTACATCAATGTTTCTCTCTCCCTCCTCTCTTTTCGTCTCTCTAGAATCAATAAAAAACATATCCTCAGATGAGGATTAAACATTTTTTAAAAAATAAAAGATTAGCCCGGCTGGTGTTGCTCAGTGGTTAAGCATCGACCCATGCACCAAGATGTCACCAGTTCAATTCCTGGTCAGGGGACATGTCCAGGTTCTGGGCCAAATCCCCAGCAAGGGCACGCAGGAAGTGGCCAATTGATGATCTCTCTTATTGATGTTTCTACCTCTCTCTCCCTCTCTCTACAAAATCAATACTGAAAAGCAAAATTTTTAAAATAAATAAATAAAAGACTATTTGGCTTTATTAAAACCTTACTCCCACTTTCTAAAGACCAAGATAGACAATCTTATTTTAATTTGTAAATTAGTTGCTTACTTTGGCTATTTTGTTCTGTATATGGGTACCTCCATCCCCATAAAACTCTTCATTATGTTTCAAAGTCCAAAATATTAAAGAATTAAGTTTCTTTATTTTTTTAAATTTTTTTCTTTATTGATTTTAGAGAGAGAAGGGAGAGGGAGAGAGAGATAGAAACATCGATGAGAGAGAACACTGACTGGGCGCCTCCTGCATGCCCTCCACTGGGGATTTGGCCCACAACCTGGGCATGTGCCCTGACTAGGAATCGAACTGGCAACCACTTGGTGCATGGGTCGACACTCAACCACTGAGCCACACTGGCTGGACAGCATTAAATTTCTTTCTATCAGATTCTCTGCAATAAAATAATTTAAAATTTATACATAACTACAAAAATGTTATATCAATTTGAGGCATACATTTTCAGTTGCTTCATGATTCCACTAAAATGTATTGATTTAAGTAGTTTATGCATGAAATAAAGAAACGTATGCTAAATAACAACTATAAAACCAACTGCGATTATCCAAATGTGAATTTACTAGATCATAGGTTAAATATGTGATTTTAAGGTTTAGCTACTACCTAACCTGTTTCCTGCCGGAAACAAAAGTTCATTTGAAACACTTAAAATTCTGGAGGCAGTGGGTCCTCAGAGTCCTCAGCAAACTTTGAAACTTAAATTGTCTCTCTTCCTTACAGCTTTTCCTGAACAAACACTTCCTTCATCATAACTACTTCTTCAATGTGGTAGCAAGTAAAATTCACCAACAACAGGAAAAACAGTAAAACTGAGCTGAGATTACAAATGATGAGAAGTAATAATTCTCTCCTACAATTTTTAAGTCATGATAACATAAGGATGATAATTAAGAACAGTAAATAAAACTAACCTTAACCTTAGAGGGAAGACCCTTGAATAGTGCTTCCAATAAACAGTATTAAGAAGGCAGTGGCAGTAAATAACAAGTCTGGGTATTTTTTTTTTTAATCATTTATAATAATATTCTCTTCATCAATAGAGAAAATATAGATGAATGGAAGGACAACATTCTCCAAGTAAGATATCAAATGTAAAATTTGTTAGCCAAATATGAATTTGATATTAAAAAACTGAGAACTGATTCCTTATATTACACTTTGCCACTAAAACTCAATATCCATGAAGAAGATATTAGTTATTACAATTAGAATGCCTTTGCCCTTGTTACATAAAGTTTTACCTGGTGAAAAGTCATAAAATAGTTTAGAAAAGAAATTTAGCATTTCTGACCCTTCTTATAGGCCCAATGCCACTTGATCCTAGAAGAATAAATGTCCTATACACCTATTACCAATTCATTTAAGTTAGCAGGCTATAAATGTTATAGATCCATTCAAGAGACTATCCCTTGGAGGAACTAATCAAATCTGTAGTGGAAGAATCTCCATGATAAAACCATTGCCATAGCTTAAGTAGTAATGCTCTTCTTTCCTACTTATACACCCAGATGGAAACGTACCCAAATGTAGACAGTGGTATATCTCTGAGTGGATAGTAGAATTATAAATGATTTTACTTACATCTTTGTTTCATCCTCACTCAATGATATGTTTGTATTGATTTTTAGAGAGAGGAAGGGGGATGTAGGGGAGAGAGAGACAGAAACAACGATGTGAGAAAGAAACATTGATCTGCTGCCTCTGGCACTTGCCCTGACCAGAAATCAAACCTACAACCTCTTGGTGTATGGGACAACATTCCAACCAACTGAGCCACCCAGCCAGGGCACTTCAAGTCAAGAAATCAAAGATAAAAGATTAAATGATATTCACATGACACATATCACACTATTTTTTTAATGAGGAAGAACAGAAACCAAATTTGGTACTGAACTTTCTCACAAAATCCACAACACATTTAAATGTCTATTAAGTATGAAGAATGCAACAAACATATCATGTAATTAATTATAAAATATAAAAAAACAAGTCTTACTCATTTTGCTAATACTATAGCAAAGCTTACCTGGTCTCCACACCAAAGTCAAATTTGTTACATTCTGAAGATGTTAAAGAGTTAAGTCAGAGTTACAAAATCCTGAAATACAGAATTAAGATTTAAAAAACAAACAAACTAAAAAAATCTCCCTTACTTCTACAGCACTCAAGCCTATCTGTCAAGTATTACTTAAAATAAGAATTGAGCATGGATTTCACATTTTTATTTAAGAAACAGATTCTGACTACTGGTATGGTTTTTCTTACAGTCATACACCAAAACTTTCAGTTGAGATGACTTCCTTTTTTATTTATAACAACTGAGTGTTTTTGATATAATAGGTGAAAAACTCCAAACTTGGCAGTGGTACAGCCATTGAATTAAAAATCCAAGAATCAAATACCATAAGAAGAGACTTCTATTCAAGCTCCAAAAAAGCTATAGAAAGGGGAGGGAGGTTACTTATTCTACCCAGTTGGAATTTTATTAAGTTGTGCCAACCGAATCTGGTGTAGGGGTTAGAAGAAGGGAAAGAAGATGACACAGCAGTAGGATGTTGTTCTGGGCACAGAAAGCAGCTTGTAACTGCACATTGGCAACAGTGAGACAGCTAACAAAGGGGACAGAAGATGTACTTGACAGTAGTGTAGAGAGTTAGCAGATGAGTAGGAGGTGGCATATGAGACGTAGGCTGGGGTGCACTAGGAAAGATCCTTGGTGGTAAACTTGAATAGCTTACATTTAATGAACAACACAGTAAGGGCCCAGTGAAGCAAGTCCAGAAGCCCAAGATAATGAACAGCTACAGTACAGCATGTGGAGCTGTCTAAAGGATAGATATTTAGACAAGGAGTCTTTAAAGAGGAGGTTATAAAAGTCACAAGAGAAAACATTCAAAATATAGTCTTTTTTTTCCCTTTTAGAAATAAAGATATAAACAAGGATTTGGAGGCACCAGTGTTGTTTGTTTGTTTCTGGTGTTTTCATAATTTGAATAAATAGAAAGAAAACAAAAGGAAGTAAATTCAAGTTTAGGCACTTAAGAAAGTTGAGTCACATAACCAAATCCAAAAAGAAAAAGGTAATTTATTAGGGTGAGTAGGATCTTAAGTGAAAATTATAGGGGATAAAAATTTCTAGGCAACTGTTAGTTATTAAAGTGTTTAGGAAGACACATTAAAAAGACAATACAGATAAATAGCAAAATAAATAACAAACACTGATTTATTATATCCTAAAAGCTTCAAACTAAAAAAATAATTTAAGATAATGAAAGGGATGAATCCTTTAATGTGCTAAAACAACTTTCTAAACTCAAGTAAATATCTTAGGAATCTTTTTGTTTAAATTTAATTCTAGTTTATTTAAACAGATGATTCTTGAGAACCTGGAAAGTGACCCAAGATATTAAGCCCAACTAATATTTGACAGAAGTAGCAAGAGCATACAATGAAGTAAAGACAGCCTCTGTAATAAATGGTGTTGGGAAAATTGGACAGCTACATGCAAAAAATTGAAGCTAGACGACCAACTTACACCATACACAAGAATAAACTCAAAATGGATAAAAGACTTAAATGTGACTCATGAATCCATAAAAATCCTACAAGAAAATGTAGGCAACAACATTTCAGACATTATACGCAGCAGAATTTTCACTGATATGCCTAAGGCTAGAGAAACAAAGAAAAAAATTAATACATGGGACTATATCAAACTAAAAAGCTTCTGCACAACAAAAGAAACAAACAAACAAAATGGAAAGAAAACCCACTATATGGGAGAGCATACTTGCCAACAATATATCAGATAAGGGGTTAATTTCCAAAATATATAGAGTGCTCATATAACTCAACAAAAGGAAGACAAAGAACACAATTAAAAAATGGGCAGAGGACCTAAACAGACACCTCTCCAAAAAGGTCATACAAATGGCCAAGAGACATATGAAGAAATGCTCAACGTCACTAATCACCAGAAAGATGCAAATTAAAAGGACTATGAGGTATCACCTCACACCTACCCGAATGACTGCTATCAACAAATCATCAAAGAACAAGTGTTGGGGAGGGTGTGGAGAAAAGGGGACTCTAGTACACTGCTGGTGGGAACGCAGACTGGAGCAACCACTGTGGAAAACACTATGGTGTTTCTTCAAAAAATTAAAAATTGATCTGCCATTTGACCCAGTGATCCCACTTCTAGGAATATACCCTAAGAAGCCGGAAACACCTATCAGAAAGAATATATGTACCCCTATGTTCATAGCAGCACTATTTACAATGGCTAAGATCTGGAAACAGCCCGTGTCCATCAGTAGATGAGTGGATAAAAAAGCAGTGGTACATGTACACAATGGAACACTATGCAGCTCTAAGAAAGAGAGATTTCTTATCCTTTGAGACAACATGGAGGGACCTGGAGAGCATTATGCTAAGTGAAAAAAGCCAATCAGAGAAAGACAAATACCACATGATCTCACTTATTTGTAGAATATAATGAACAAAATAAGCTAATGAACAAAATAGACTCAGAGACATAGAAAGGAGTATGGTTCAGACTGACAAACCTCAGAGGAGGAGGTGGGGGAGGACAGATGAGATAAACCAAAGAACTTATATGCATGTATGTGTAACCAATGGACATAGACAACAATGCTGGGGGAGTGGGGCGGACTGGGAGGAGGGTGTCTAGAGGGGAAAAGGAAAAACATCTGTTTAACAAAAATAACTTAATAAAAATTGCAAAAAAAATTTTTAAATAATATAAACTGATTTTTTTTTCAGAAATAAGTTATATTTCAGCTGGCAAAATGTTACTAAAAATTCTGAAGAACTCAGCCATTTTTCACTAATATTTAATTTAAGACAAATTTAGTAATGAACACCTCATTGTGTACCACACTTTTAAATGTATTCCTTGCTCAAAGTCATTTGACTGCTGAATCAATATCATTTGACCCAAGGCTGAGAAGCTGACATTTTAGCAAATTCACCACTTTTACCACTAGGTGGCGAAAAAACCCAAGGAGTATCTGTTACCAAAGTTGTACAAGATCCCAAGTACTTTAACTAGAATCTCCACCAGGTGTCAACCAAGAGAGAGAGAAAAAAAAAGTGAGAGACTATTTTCTCCACTCAAGCACAAAAATTCAGTTTCGTGCATAACCATCTAAGTCTATCAAAAATAAATGGCCTGCCCATTAACTGTCCAACTATTTTGCATATTTATACCTTCATATAATGCTGTTCAGTCCAAGATATTGCACTGTCAACTAAAATCCAACTAAATAAAATTTCATTTCTTTCAAAAAAGAAAAACAGCAAGCCCCAATGAGTTGTTTATTGTGAGTCATAGGTTCAACCTAACCAAATATATGGCACAAAAGAATCTAAAATGTTTTAGACATGGACAGCCAAAAATCTTCAAAGTACATTTGGATATATACATATATATCCAGATTCATATTTTTTCTTTCTATATTTCTCTAATAAGTAGGTCTGTTGATTGCAAAAGTCTAGATAAGTTTATGCTGTTATGCTCTCAATTTCAATGTAATTTTATGAATGCATTACCATTTGTTCCCAAAACTTTCAAAACAGACAAATGTACCTGCCTTTAAGATGTATGAGAATTACACCAGGTGTCAACCAAGAGAGAGAGAAACAGATGTTGAAGAGTCCAAGGCTGAAAATGAAAATTAGAGTTTTACAGAATTAAACCATATTTATAAACCAAATCATGCTTTTTAAAAAACATGTTATAAGCTTCACTTATCTCTAACAAAGATTTTCCCATCTTATTTTAAACATTATGTCAGCTAAAACACTATGTCATGCTGCCTTTTATAAGGTGGTACTTTTTTAGGCCGAACTCTATTCTTAATCCTCTGGACACAGGAGTTATAATCATGTCATACCCTGCAAATCTAGCCGTAGGTGGTGATTTAAAATAGGACTTTTTCTTCCTTCGAGGAAGTGGTCAAGCCTTTCTTCCCCCTAGTGTCATCATGCAAACAACTTGGTTGGTTTTCGTTGCTATCTAATTAAGAGATGGAAGAGAAAGTACTTGAGGAGAAAGCAAAACCTACTGATTAAATTATGCTTGTTTCTCTTCCATGCTCTTTATAGTCTTCTTTTAAGGTTCCTTTGGCCTCAAATGAGTTCATTTCCACCCTGCCGGCAAAGCACAGGTTCCCCACCCTTTGCCACCTCCCCCCCCCCGCCCCCAAAATCCAACCCAAGACTGCTCTTGTTGGAGAACATTACTTCTTGTCTGGTTTTATTACGTTTTCTTTTGAAATTTGTTAGATTATGCTCAGCAACCAGTCGTTTGCCCAACCGGTTATTCCCCTGCCCCCATCTCTCTTCACACATCACTTTTTCCTCTTCCCAGCCAGGCAGCGGCCAAAACCCCGCAGTGCCCGTAAAGCATTCTTAGGGCTGGTCAGTCAGCAGTTTATCCTTACTTGGCTTTGTAAACAGCTCCCCATCCTATCCTTGTCCCCCACTGCCCCCCTATGCCATTATCTTTAAATAGAGTGTGTTCATAAGGGGCTCCAGACTGCACGTCGAGGGTTTACGGTAGCCTGCCTACCAATAGGAGCCCACAATGAAGAGAAGTCAGGTTCAGCCTCCCGGCAGCCCCAGTGTCTTCTCCCCGAGCTGTACACCTACTGTACCCGCGAGCGAGGGAGCGAGCCCGGCGCGGGAGGGGGCGCGCAGGGAGGGCGGGCAGCAGCAGCCGCGGCGTGCGCATGCGCACTGGGGTTGTTTTTCACAAAGCTGCTCTTAAAGTGAGCTGGCAGCCTCCAGCCGCCCGTCTTTGTAAGGAGACCACTGAGACTAGCAGGAGCGCGGCGCAGTAGCCTCTCTGCTGCCCTGACTTTTTAAGAAATCTCAATGAACTATTTGTAAAGAATCACTGATCTTGCCTGGAAGCTTTTTCCACGGCAAAGACATCGATCAGTGTTAAGTGAAGATCACATTTTATATGTGATCTTGACTTTTTTGTCTTACATTATATTTTTATAGATTTTGTTATAAACATGGTGCTGGGAAAGGTAAAGAGTTTGACAATAAGCTTTGACTGTCTTAATGACAGCAATGTCCCTGTGTATTCTAGTGGGGATACAGTCTCAGGAAGGGTGAATTTAGAAGTTACTGGGGAAATCAGAGTAAAATCTCTTAAAATTCATGCAAGAGGACATGCGAAAGTACGCTGGACCGAATCTAGAAACGCCGGCTCCAATACTGCCTATACACAGAATTACACTGAAGAAGTAGAATATTTCAACCATAAAGACATCTTAATTGGATACGAAAGAGGTAAGTTTTTATATTATTCGGAAATTATTAAACCTGTTTTCTTCGGGAATGTACCTTTTAATATTTCTGAATTAATATAATTCTACTACTAGCATAACACATAGCAGTTTGATAAAAGCTTAGCAAAGTTGGAAGATGTGGATTCTCCTTGACATTCATCGTGTGTTAAGTCGTAATGCATGCAGGCATCTGCAAAGTGACTGCAAACTGCACTTACTCAACTACCTCCATACCCGGCTTGGTCTGTGCCATACGCACTTGCCATCCATTTGCACCTTACTTAAATTCTGCCTAAACCCAATTCAATAATTTCACTAATGTTTTCAACTGAATTGCGAAAAGCTGCAGTCTAATGTTAGATTTTTCTCCTTGTACTCTGCAGTCTTAAAAACTAAGCTTCAATCAGTAAATAACACCTTTAGGTGGGTTTATAGATGTATTTCATTTTTAATACTGACACGCAAAAGACTTTAAAGAATTGATCATTGTTCTTTGATAAAGGGTTTCTGTGGCTTATTTTGACATATGGTATCAACACCCCACGTGTTTTTTCCCTATTCTTTCCAGTTTCTTTAGAAATTTGTATCAATCATTCTCTATTTTAATGGACATTATCTATCATTCTGATAGGTTTCAAATCCGTTTTAGAAGCCAATTCGGGTAATTTTCCTTTCCGAACATCATGCCTAACTTTGAAATGTGCATTCAATGAAACCCACACCAGTCAAATGAAATTGAAAAGTATTCGGCACATTGGATTTGATTTTGGGTTAGAAAAGGGAGATGAAGGCTTGTCAAACGTTGAAAGGGTCCTGAGATTTCCAATCTATTGTTTAAATCGTTACATTGTGAAAATATAGAAGACTCTAAGCTTGTTTTTCTAAGTTTCCACCCTTTGTTAGAAGCGGTTCAATCCTGTTTCGGACCAGTTCTGGGGGGTGGTGAGGAGGGGCGCTTGTTCAGCTCTCAGCAGATTGGTTGCACGCGTCAGGTGGTGGCGATGACTTAATTCCTAGACCAAGAAGAATATAGTGTTAAAACTGGTTATGTAATTTTGTACTTCTCCTTTTTAATGCAATATTTAGTTGAAATGTGCATTTTCAAAAAGTAGAACACATTTTTACCTTCATTTTTAATATTAAAATATGCACATGCCTGAGGAATTAATTGCTAATTGAACCCAAGCAAGTGTAGAAATGAAGGATGCTTTCAGTTACAGTATTAATTCACTAATTTTTTAAATATTAAGATGAAATTAATTCCTTAGTTAGGTTTTTCAGTTACACATAGGTAATTTGCATCCTGACATAATTTCTAGTTTCTCTCCAAGCAGTAACCCTGATAAGAAGCGATAATGCCTAATGACAGTGGTCGTATTTGTTGAAAAGCAGACACATGAGTTTGTTTGAACCTTTCTGGATATTGCAGCTTTATACAAAATGGTGAAAAGAAACAGTGGTTTTTTAGAGTTGAGACTGAAGAATAACGACTTATGGGGACACACACAATTTTATTAGTTGCTCCATGGTTTCATGGTGAAATAAACTATGTGCCTTGAAACCTCACGAAAAACCCCTCAACCCCTGCAAAGCGTGGACCAGCTCTTAGCCTGGAATAGTTTCAATGACTTAAAACTGGGACCTCTCAAACTAGCCTGGTAACTGAGACCCGCCCCGAGCGACCAGCGATAGGCGGAGCCGGGTTTGTTAGCCTGTTGCTAAGGCGATGCCAGGCTCTGATTGGATTGGGCGCGTGCGGGTGGGGAGAGTGGGTCGCGCCGGTTGGGGCGAGGCTTGGAACCGGCGTGCGCCGGTAAAGGTCCCTCCTGAGCGGTCGCCCCCGCCCCTACGCGGCGTCCCTCCCGGGCTTCTGGAAGTGCCCAGGGCCCTGTCACATCACGTTATGTCGCCCCACGGTGGCCTGTTGGGGCCCCGAAATAAATGATTCCGGGTGTCGAAAGAGAAGATGCGTGAAGCTCCTGCTGGCCTTACAGGTGCCGAATGGCGCTGGGCGCAACTTTAGCTGACGATCCTATTCGGAGGGAACTTGGGTGGACAGGGCCCGCAGGACCCTGGTTTCCTGTTTTTGCAGTGGAAGATGTCAGGCATCTTCTGTGCAGGCTTGTTTTTCCTTCGCTAAAATAAAGCGTCCCCCGACCTACGTAGGCATCAGACCGACTGCCTGGATTTGACCTAAGGAGAGAGCGCAAAGGCTGGGCAGGAAGGGAAGGAAAAGTGGGAGTAACACCAAAAACTGGGTGGGGGGCTCGGCGAGTATTCCCTCCCCCGCCCATTGTCTCCCGGGGCGCCCCAGTTTCCATCACCGCACTGTGAAGGTGTCAGGGTGGCCCGAGCCAGATCGAACCGGTCACCGGCTGGGGCGTGGAAAGCGGAAGCGCCGCGGCGCGGTGGCCCCGCCCCCGGCCCAGCAGGCTAGGCTGCGCGGGCGCGAGCGCGAGCGCCGGCGACGTATGCCGTATGTATAGCGGGGCGCGCGGGCGACGGCGGCGCGCGAGCGGGCCGGCTGGGATCTGCTCGCGCCGGTTTAGGCCGGTCCGCTCCTGCTCCGGTCTAGTTCTTGATTGACAGCCCAGCACTTGTTTACCACGGCGCGGCCGCCGCCGCCGCTCGCCTCGATGAGACTGCTGAGCTGGCACAAAAAGGGAGCGAGCCGGGAAGAAAGGGAGCGGGAGGCAAACTTTGGGTGCTTTCGAGGGCAGCGAATTTAAATGGCCCCCAACTCACCAGCCAGTTCTTGGTGCTGATCCCCGCGCAGAGGATTTGCACAGGGGACGAGGAAAATAGCACTAAGGCAAAAACGAATCCTCGTGGTTTGAGGATAAAAGTATCCACATCTGGGCGCATTTTTCTTTTTTATAAGGGGAGCGTCACGTTTTCTGTGTGTGTGCAGTACTGTGGTGAGGGAAAGTTGAATAATACCAGTTTCATCAGCTTTCATGATAAAGGTCTGCTAATGATAAGGACTTCTACACCGAAATATTACCTAAATAAGACATTGATGGAACTATGTTATCTGGTCAGAACACTAAAAAAATCATTTTAAAAATCCAGAATCCTACCCCCCCTCACTTTTTTTTTTTCTTAGTTAATATATTTTGGAGACATTAAATAATGTAGTTGGGCAAAAGAAATTGGTTTCTAAAGTGGAAGGTCATTCCTTTTTCAAGCAATTGGAAACAGCCCAGTTCATTATTCAGGGATGTGGGTAGGCAGTGTTGTTGCCCAGTTAGCAGGCACCTTTTGCACCTGGTATGTGTTCTTTACATGTGTGCAGATTTTAGCTGTTGCTGGGACAGAGTGTTAACTAATTTTAGGTACAATAAAGAATTTATATTTTTAACTATGAAACTGACATTAAAATCACTAGGGTTTTGCTTTGTGTGTTTTTTTTTAGCTCCAACATCTATTTGACAGTTTTCTAATGCTTTTATAATTGTAACACTCAAATGTATATCAACTGATATTTTTAAAGATTTACTTGAACAGTTTTCATTTTATATAGTTATAATATGATAAATTCAAGGAAATAATTGAATTTAGGTAGAGAACACCTTACCATGAGATTTTTGAAATCTGAATCTTTAGTTAAGCATTAGATACAGAGGCCTTAAAGTCCAGGTCATTTTTCATTTAACGATGCCTATGGGGGTAAAAGTATTAATTATTCCCATTTTACAGATAAGGCAACTAAAGACAGGATTTTTACTTTAGCCAGAGAAGTGATGAGGTTGGAATTATGACTTAGATCTCTCAGACTCTAAAATGTGTGTCCTTAATTATATGACCACACCAGCATGAAGAGTGTGTAAAGGTTTAATGACGGGTTTTTTTTGTTTTTCTTTGTTTTAGATGATGATAATTCCGAAGAAGGCTTCAACACTATTCCTTCAGGAAGGCATGAATATGCATTCAGTTTCGAGCTTCCACAGACGTAAGTATTAAAAGTAACAAGCACTTTTCATAGACATCCATTCTTTTCAAATTAACAGTATTCTAAGTTTAAATATTTTTAGTTAAAAAAAAAAAACCCTTTTCATTACTGCATCTTGCTAAAGGAAAACAGTGTACTAAAAAAACGCTATTGTATAATGTAGTGTGGCAAAATTATAGAAAGCAAAACTTAATTCTTAATACTCTGCCTCAAGATTTATGACATTTTAAAAACTTGAATAGTATTTCATTTAACACAAGTGACTTGTAAGGTGCTAGTCAAATAATTAAGCACTGTATGCTTAGTTTATCATCAGTTGGCATTAGCAGAAAAGGTAAAACCTAATAAGTCTCTCATAAGTAATTTGTAAATATTCAGCAGTCTGTCTTTTCTGCTAATGTTAAACAGCAGCAGTATGCTAAAAAAATAAACATAATTAGGAATATTCTAACTTTAAAAGCGATGGTCTTTGGATATGAATTCAATAGCTCCTGTGCAAAAAGCAATTGAGAAGGTCACACAAGGGATATTATGACCTGGACTTAAAGGAAACATCCATCATAGATACCTTAGTGTAAAGATTGGGATCTAGTAGGAAAGGAAGAAGAAAAGTGGTATAGTCTTAATGTAATAAAAGATTGTTAGAAGAGATTATAATATTTTTTTAAACGATGCCTTTAACATACTATGACATGCAAAGTGGCACATCTGCTCATTGTTTTGGAGGATAAACTTACATTACAGAAGAATTTATCAATTGCCAAATGTACATAATTCTATATTTTCATTCATTCTAGTCCTGAGTTGTTTTCTGTGGATAGAGTTTATAAATGGTGTTTTTCAGTATCCTATTTATCATATTACTTAAGAAAATCATTTTAAATATATATAGTGCCCTAATCTACTTTCTGAGAGAAATATGTTTTAAGTCTGTGAATACGATAAGACTAATACTGGGCCTGATTATTTTCAAAGGATGGAGGTAATTTAATACATACTTTTAAATCATATCTGTAAAGCATTCATTTAAAATCAACTCTAAAAGAGTAGCATAATATTGCATTTTATATCTCTGTTCTATACTATACAAGTTTATGCAAGAATCTAAATGCCAAAAAAATTTTGTAAAATACTACTACTCAGACTAATCTAAGTTGGCACTCGGCCTTGTAAATAACTGAACATTGGGCATTTTTCTAATGAAATTATGAGAAAGTGACTAAGTTCACTAAAATAAAATCTTTCACAAGTAATAAAATCTAGCAAAGTTGGAAGTTCTGATTCCCTTGATACAGGTCAATAGAAATGTTGCTTTTTCATTTTAACTAGAATAAAGTTAGAAAACATGGCCCAAAAGAGAACATGAGTGAGGAAACTAGGAAATACAAAAGTTTTTTAGTATTTCAGTGGACTTTATGAAATGTGAAATGTTTGAAACTATAATAACTATTCTAGGCCCTTTCTAGATCTTCTTAATTAGTTGCTATAAAAAGAGATATAATTCCTAGCAAATGAATAGTGGAGCACTATGGGGAATTTGGTCTGAATGTTTAAACAGTATCTATAATTTCTCAATAGGAATAGTTAAACCATTCTTAACTTTATTTTTAGATTAAATTCTTGACCTTTTCAAGAATTGTTCATTTCCAAATTTCATAATTTTGCCACCAACATTAGAAGTAGCTTCTCCTTTAAAGGAATTGTATTCTTCCGGCTTTTAAAGCAAAATTTCTATGATATTTACCTACTATCTATTGTTACTTGGAAACAAGTTTTTTCCCCAATGACTTATCCCTTTGGAAATTTTTAAAAATTATATGTTTGATACCTCACCGATATATAAACAGTACAATAGATTAACAATTCTATGCCGACCTACTGTGTAATTATTAGAAAGAGGTATAAGATTAATATATTGACCTTTATATTCTGCACAGACCACTTGCTACCTCATTCGAAGGCCGACATGGCAGTGTGCGCTATTGGGTGAAAGCCGAATTGCACAGGCCTTGGCTTCTACCAGTAAAATTAAAGAAGGAATTTACAGTCTTTGAACATATAGATATCAACACTCCTTCATTACTGGTAAGAATCGACTGAGTTCTTCATTGTTTTTGTTTTATCGATACTAAAGAATAATTACCTACTATAATTTTAAAATTATGGTTTTATTTTAAAATTTCATAGTGTTTTGGTTTTTTTTTAAAGTATAGTCAAGGGCACATAAGCTAATAAAGAATATGATCATATTTTCTGATACTGTAATAACATTAAATAAATTTTTAAAGTAAGACCAGTATATGGTATGAAATATCTCTTATTCAGAAGATAACAGCAGTAACAAAAAATAAATCTGTTCCCTGGATAATTTTAGTAGAAGAGGAACAGTAGTATTAGTTATCATTATAAGACATTATTACTTAATTTTAAAATATCATAATGTAAAATTTGTATTGCTTTCATTATTACATTGTAGGGATGTCAAATGATGGGGAGATTATCACTTTCATCAAAAAATTTTAATTTTGTTTTAAATGAAATTCTTTTTAAACTTATTTTTTCACAAGTTTCAAATTTGACTTCAAAAACATTAATTGGTTTAAACAAATGATAACATCTTGAAGCAAATAAGAATTAATTTTTAAAATGTACAGTTTCCTTTTTGTACATGTTGATTTTCAATTCTCAAAGATGTTAGCATTTGGGATTTATAATCAAGTTGCTTTCCAAGCTGCATTTTTATTTAAGGCAGTTGAAATGGAATGTGGAAAGGGTTTTTTTGTTTGGTTGGATGGTTGGTTTTTAATTACTATATATGTATATATAAATAGTGTGGGCTAAAACTGTTTGTGGAATATGGTGTTAAACTCTGTACCCTTTTTTATTTAATTTAATAGAAACTTATATAAATATAAAAATAATATAATTCAGAGCTATTGGCTACCAACAAAAAGCAGCACTGCTTTTAATTTTAAATTCTCCAAGAATTTAGATTGTATTTTAAAACATTTTATTACTCTCTCAACTCATTGATCTTTTTGTCTAAATTTATTTCTTACAGTCACCCCAAGCAGGCACAAAAGAAAAGACTCTCTGTTGCTGGTTCTGTACCTCAGGCCCAATATCCTTAAGTGCCAAAATTGAAAGGAAGGGCTATACCCCAGGTATGTGTGAAGTGGATCCCCACAAAAAAAACAATCTTTTTTCACTTAGCTTTTGTGTTTAAATTTATATTTCTACTAAATGCAAACATGATATAGCATTCTTTGGTAAAATGACATAAATTGTGCATATCCAGTTTTCTTTCATAAATTGGGACGCAGCCTCCATTTTTAATTTTTTTTTTTTTTAAGAAAGAAACAATTTGTTGTTTCACTTATTTATGCATTCATTGATTGCTTCTTGTATGTACGCTGACTGAGTATCAAACCCACAACCTTGGCATATAAGAACAATACTCTAGCCCTGGCCGGTTTTGCTCAGTGGTTAGAGCGTCGGCCTGCGGTCCTGAGAGACCCAGGTTCGGTTCCCGCTAAGGGCATGTGCCTTGGTTGCAGTTTGTCCCCGGCCCTGGTTGGGTCGTGTGGGTGGCAGCCACTCGACGTATCCCTTTCACATCGATATTTCTCTCTCTCTCTCTCTCTCTCTCTCTCTCCCTCCCACACCCTATCTGAACAAAAAATAGAAAAAATGTCCTTGGGTGAGGATAAAAAAAAACAAAAACAATACTCTAACCAACTTAGCTACCCAGCCAGGGCCTCTCCTTTTTTAAAGAGCTACTGTAAATGCATAGTTCATTTTTATAACTCTAGATTACTTGCCACTCTTATGACAACTCTTTCTTTTTTTAAATTATGTTTCTATTGATTTTTTTTTTTTTTTTTTTTTTTTTTTTTTTTGAGAGAGAAGAAGGGAGAGAGAGAGAGACATTGATGTGAGAGAGAAACATCGATTGGCTGCCCCCTGCGCATCCCCCACTGGGTATCGAGCCCAAAACCCAGACATGTGCCCTGATCGGGAATCAAAGCAGGACCTCTCAGTCCATGGGACGATGCTCAATCCACTGAGCCATACCAGCCAGGCAGATAGCTTGTATCCATGTAGTCTGCTGAACTTTCTAATATTACCCTAAGTTTACGTTAGTTTTAGAGGTTTTGTTTTGTTTTGTTTTCTAACAGTAGATAAATTTTTTTCCCTCTCTAGGTGAATCAATTCAGATATTTGCTGAGATTGAGAACTGCTCTTCCCGAATGGTAGTGCCAAAGGCAGCCATTTACCAAACACAGGCCTTCTATGCCAAAGGGAAAATGAAGGAAGTAAAACAGCTTGTGGCTAACTTGCGTGGGGACTCCTTATCATCTGGAAAGACAGAGACATGGAATGGCAAGTTGCTGAAAATTCCACCTGTTTCTCCATCAATCCTCGACTGTAGTATAATCCGGGTGGAATATTCACTAATGGTATGTATAAATTTAAGAAGTTTTATTTAAGTCTTAAAGTCATAAGGATATCATTTTTTGTCATACATCCAGGATTTGACTTTTATATTCCAAAATTGATATATACAAATAAATATGTCTTTCTATGGTTTGAATCGTAATTATTAATTTTACCTTACGTATGTAATTGTACTATACAATATTATACATAATGGATAAACTTTTCTTATATATCATATGCATATAAGTAAATGAAATAAACGAGGACCTCAGATAACATAAAAATTGGGTTATTAGTTTTTAAAAAGGATATAGTACTTGGCATTCTAAACTTAGCATCTCCTTTTACTGTTCAGGTATATGTGGATATTCCTGGAGCTATGGATTTATTTCTTAATTTGCCTCTTGTCATCGGTACCATTCCTCTACATCCATTTGGTAGCAGAACCTCAAGTGTAAGCAGTCAGTGTAGCATGAATATGAATTGGCTTGGTTTATCCCTACCTGAAAGACCTGAAGGTAATTTTGATATAATGCATATCTAAGTTTAATCTCTGATTATTTTCAAGAACATCATTTTACTTCTGATATTTTATGATTAAACTTCTGTCTATACCTGAAAAGAGTATATGTGCCCCAAATGTTACATTTAAAATATATATCCCCCTAGTTTTGAACAAAAAACAAGTAATTATTATTTTACCTTGATATTTCTTTTTAATACCTACTATTCTGTGTATTTTGACATGCATAAGAACATGCTGTTCGAATTGCGTGTATCTTTTTCCTTCAGCACCACCCAGTTATGCAGAAGTGGTCACAGAGGAACAAAGGCGGAACAATCTGGCTCCAGTGAGTGCTTGTGATGACTTTGAGAGAGCGTTTCAAGGACCACTGTTCGCCTATATCCAGGAGTTCCGGTTCTTACCTCCTCCTCTTTATTCAGAGGTAAATGGACTAGTTATCTTGCATTGCAGACTTTTAAAAAAAATACAGTTAGTTTTGATTATCATGATAATAAAAGAAAAACATAATTTAAAACCATAGATTAAAGTTTAGGGTTGTCAGTATTTACTAAGTATGACCCAGAAGTAGGACTGTTCACTTCTGTTGTCGGGAAATAAAGATAATGATCTCACCTCAGGCTTTTCAAAATGCCAGTTAAAGGGATAATTTCTATTTTAAAGCATCAGTAGAACTGGCATTTTTCAGGGATTGCTTAATAGATGAAATTTATCTTATCATCTTTTTCCAATTTCTTGCATATTTTAACATTCTCAGGCATGAGGGAAAATAACATACTTGCAGTAATATCTTAAACAACATGCCTACACCCTCAGATTTTTTTTTTTAATCTTCACCTGAGGATATTATTCCATTGATTTTTCTAGATAGTGTGGGAGGGAGGAAGGGAGGAGAGGAGAGAGAGAAAGAAAAAGAGAGAAATATCAATGTGAGAGAGACGTATCGATTGGTTGCCTCCCACATGACCCTGACCAGAGCTGGGGATCTAACCCGCAGACTCTTTGGTCTGCAGACCTACACCCTAACCACTGAGCAACCGGCCAGGGCCTATTAGATTATTTTTATTCATCTAATATTGGTGACAGATTAGCTCTATGTGAATAAAACATGGCCCTTGCCTGGGAGAAGCTCATATAGTCTGGCTAGAAAAACAAACTTAGAAGCAAAATATTCCATAACAATGAGAAAAGAATGCACAGTTCATTTGAGGAGCAGCTTTTTAGGCCTTGGGAATTGGAGGAGCTTCCCTGAGAAAGATGATTAAAAGTAGCACTCCTCAAAAGATAGGGTTAGTTCAGGCATGTGCAAAGGCAAGTAAGAGGAAGGGGTGGAAAATGCAGCAATTTCAATTTCAGGAATGTGTATAGACATTATTACATGTTTTGAGGGGCTTTAAAGTTAGCCTCAATACCAATATAATACTAAATAATTTTGTAAGTCACTACAATTAGCTTTTTTCCTTTTGGTTACTGTAATTTAGACAGCTATTTTACAATGAAATATTAGTCCCAAATAAGACATAAAAAGGTTTGTTTCACTATCAACAAATTGTTCTTCCCCGCTCCTTCCCAACAACACCATGACTGGAAGAGTCGATTTTCCTTTGGATGTAGCTAATATGAGATGCACTTTAATCATTGACAATTTGCCTTCCTGTGCCCTTTCTCTTTGGACCTGAGAAGCAACTAAAATACATTTAGTTTCATTAAATGTATGTGTATATGAAAGTCACTCCAGAGATAGAGAAGGTGGGATGCCTCTCTATGTCTTTTGGGTTCAGCATTACTATTTCTTGATAAACACTTCTGGGCCCTTTCTGAGATTTTATACCCATGGGTTAACTACCGCACATAGCACCAAGAACATTGTTTTCACAACTGCTTTCTTCCTAAAGCCTACAGAAGAAATGAGTTGATTTTTTTATAAAGGGATGAAAGGATACTTTACAAAAGGAGATAATTGCTATAAAGATGTTTTCCATTGTGTATTTCAGTCTTAAGTACTACTGAGTGAAACTCCATTCACTGATAAAATTTAACCATTAGCTTTTGTGAAAGAACTCTTCAGGCATATTTTTATAAATTTTATTGTTAATCTGGTAATTGCATATCAGGCACTTTATAGATAATACTAGTACCCTTTCCTTTCATGCTGGTTGTGTGTGTTCTTTCTAATTAGATTTCTCAATTAATACTCAAAATCTCAGTCATTGGCTATTATTACACCTTATCAAATAACTTGATTTTTTTTCTCTTTCTAGATTGATCCAAATCCTGATCAGTCAGCAGATGATAGACCATCCTGCCCCTCTCGTTGAAGGAACAAGTGGTTAAATCAAGTTGATATGGATTCCGAACTGTATCTCTTCTGGCTGAGGACAGAGAAGTATCTTGGAGACACGTTTTCAGAGGAAGTGGAATTACTTTTGCCCAGAAAAATGGCAAATACAAGAAACAACCAGTGATCATGCTTTAGAAGCCTACAGCAACATTCTGGGGCTGCTCCAACATGCTTGAAGATCTAAGCTTTTCTTCTTTAAAACTGGCACATACCAAGAGCAGTCTTCTTAGCCTATGGTCATGTGTGTCAAGACACCACGTTATAAAGAGGGATGATTTCCTTCTTTTGATTTGAAAATTTGCACATGCTCAATGCTTACATTGTGCGGTTCAATGTCACTACAGCTTTTTTTTTTCCATTTATGCCAGACTCTTGATACTCTTTTAAAACTTGTTTGTGATCAGCACAACAAGGAACAAAAGAAAGCTTTGAAAAAAAAAAAAACTTTAACGTGAAAAAAACGCACTGACTTTTTTTTTTTTTTTAATTTAATATAGCCTGGACTTTACCTGCGTATGCACATGCTCAGAATTGTCCTACTAGGCTGACCATGTATCACCTCTTCAGCTTGGATCCTATTGTGGATTTATTTACAAACATCAAATGCCTTCAAGCCAATCTTTCTTGCTGTATGTTTTGCAGCCTACTGTAGTAGATACGCAACAGATAATGTGGGAAAAGAGATAAGAGGAGGAAGCTAATAAGAGACTTTGTCAAGATTGTATACCTTCTTGGTTTCTTTTAAGAATTTGTTGCCTTTCTACTATTACAGCAAAGCAGCATTTTGTTACTGACTGCCTAAAATCACTTAATCTCAGGTGAACGCATCACTTGCCAAACTGTTGGAATGCTATTTTGTGTTTTGTTGCACTGTTGAGTTATTTTGTTTGTTTGGTTGGTTGGCTTTTTGGAGAGGGAAATTTGGTAAAGGGACATACACAAAAGTGATAACCCACCCGCATTCCCTTTTTATCATTACACATAAGAAGAAACTAGAAGAGCTAAGAATGGAGTAAGAAAGGCAGTACGGCAGGCACCAGCAAAGAGTTAAGGGCTGTTGCTCTTAAAAATTATTGTTACTTTTAGTGTTTTTTAAAAGTATGGAAGTTTTCCAGTCATCAGAGGGGAGGAGAAAATGCATTTATTTTTATACAGAGTTACTTAATTACCTCCAAGCATGTATGTTGGAAACCATTTTTGCTGGTGCAGAGTATTTTAATGAGCAGGAATATGTGTATGTGTGTGTGTATACACACACACACACATATGTACATATATATATATACACACATATATATATATACAGGTTATGAATAGAGAGCTCAATTTATCAATTTCTTATCCTGCTCAAGCTTGACAGAGCTTGAAAATCCAAGTTTATTCTAAAAGTATATAACTTCAAAATTATAAATACTAGAATGTATGCTGGAATAATAAATGTTTTATATTTTTGTGTTGTTTTTTTTAATGAAAGTATTTTTTTTCCAATTACCTGAAGAACATTTTGCTAAACATGACAAATCACTTACTTTTAGTATATTTAGATAGGATAGGGAAAATGATTACATCATCAGTAAGTTATAGTTTATATTAAAGATAATTTACAGTTGGTTCATAACAAATAACACCAGCATTCATTATGACACTTTTAAAACAGCATTTTCCAAGGTACCAGGTGTATTGATTGTCTTATTTTAGAAGGAATTCAGCTCTGATGTTAATGAAAATCAGCATCTGTGATGTTACAACATACATGTGAAATGGGTGTTGCATCTATCCTGTCATTTAACCCCACAGTTAATAAGGTGACTGAAAATAATAGTAACTCTGGCTTGGTGCTTGACCTGGTTAAATACTGTCTTAAAGCTTCATATAAAACAAATAGGCTTTTCCATAAGTGGCCTTTAAGAAAACATGGAAGACAATTCATGTTTGAAAAATGCTGACAGGGTGAAGAAAGCCCAGTGTAAAAATGAATCGCGTTTTAAGTGATTCAGTTAAAGGGTTTGGGCTCCCGTAGCAAACTAATACTAGATAATAAGGAAATGGGGGTGAAATATTTTTTTATTGTTGTTAAATCATTTTGTGAATGTCCCCCTCAAAAAAGCTAATGGAATATTTGGCATAAAGGGCATTTGGTGGTTTCATTTTTGTTGGGGGGGGGGTATGTTGTCAAAATCCCTTTTCTTTTTTATGTCTAACTTCTAGGGAACAATTGTTGATACGCATAGTATTGGAATACTTACACCGTATACTCATAACACATAAAAGCAAGAATGACCAATATTCTGGTAATTGGCACTGGGTCACGAAATAAAATGTGATAAAACTCTAAGTATATAAAACTTTATGAAATAAAGTTTTATTTTCCCCATTAAAGAATTTCTTTACTTTTTTATTTAGAGGCATTACTTTACTCTTTCCCAAATATTGGTCAATTTCTGACATAAGATGTGAGATTCACAGTTGTATTCCAGTATTCAAGATAGATTCCTGATTTTTCAATTAGGAAAAGTAAAATCCAAAATGTTAGCAAAACAAAGTGCAATATTAAATGTTTGCTTTATAGGTTATACTCTATGGCTCTCTTTATTTTATTTTTTTTTTCCTTTTTTATTTGGTGCTGAATATGTCCTTGTAGGCTCTGTTTTAAGAAAACAATATGTGGGAAATGATTTGATTTTTCCTATTGCTCTTCCTTGTGAAAAATAAAGTGTTTTGTTTTTTTCTTTTTTGTAAAATTGTTTGGAGATTTATTTGAATCTTGATCATATTAGTAACTCATCATACATGCAAACCCTATTAACACTACAATTAAATTCTTAATCCATCCTTGGTAAGAATTGTTTCTGGACTCTACTAGAGAAAATTACTGAAGACTTAAAAGAAATTTTGAATACTAGTTATTGTTTTACTTAATAAGTCATTGTTATAGGTAGGTATTGTTTTTAATAAGTCATTAAGTAATAAAACTTGCTTATATATGAACCAAACTTAACCAGGTAAAGTAGTTTCACTTAGATACCAATTCCCTCTCACTGTGTATGTCCAAATTTCCAGTATTTCAAGAGCACATAAATGTAAAATCTACCATATTCTAATGTGATGGAAATAGTTTTTCTAACTTAAAACAGTAAATTTTTTTAGAAAAATTTTTTCATAAATTAAGACATTCTTTGTCCTAATTTTATAGTGATTTGTAACATTAGAAGTACTTCTGGAGTCATACTTAGAATTTCAGTGTTTATACATATATGTGGATGAGCTAGCAAGTTGTATATACCTTACCATATGATTCTCCCATATTCTATAATGTATATACACATAAAAACATGTTACAAAGAAACATTTACACAAATATGTTTATAATCAATTTCGTAGAAGTATACTGTCATTTTTGTTCATTAAAAGCAAGCAATCTGCCCATGCCAGTCAGTTTGGTTGGAGTGTCATCCCATACACCAGAAGATGGCCAGTTCAGTTCCCAGTCAGGGCACATACCCAGATTGAGGTTTTGATCCGCAAGTCAGGGTGTGTATGGGAGGCTACTGATGTTTCGCACATAGATGTCTCTCTCCCCCTACTCTTTCTAAAATTAAAAAAAAAAAAAACTACACAAAGTCCTAATACAAGAAGTAATGAGAGGAATTACATCTCATGGGAGACCTAGGTTCTGTTCTGAGACTAGAAATGTCTTTGAACAAGATGTGTGCATTTTTATTTCTTCCACCAAGTGGGAAAGTAGCTATCCAAAGTCCTTTTCATCCCTGAAGGTATGAGGTTATAATACTTTGGATGAAATAATATTCTAAGTCAATTATAATGTTGAAAATTAACTATATTGCTTCTAAATTTGCATTAGAATACAGGCTGATTTAGGTACATGTTTCAAGTTTGTGTGAGAGTTATCTGGCTCTGTTTTTGCATTAAGTCATCTATACTTATCAAACTACCCTTGTCATTATGGCCAAGGCTGGTATATTTACTAGGACTTTGATTATAACAGAGGGAGAAACTCAGGCTAGCTTAAGTAAAAAACTGTATTAAGTAATTCCAGGGATAAACTCTATTAAGCACATTTGGATCCAGAACTCCAAATAATGCCCTGGGGACTCTTATCTCTTGTTTATTTACTTAACTCTTTTCATATTAGCCTTATTCTTTTATGTTAGATGGTCCAGAAAAGACGACCCCAGCTTTTATAGCTCATGAAAGAAGTGCCATCTGTTTGGAACATTCTGATTGGCCAATATGTGGGTCATGTTTCATGCCACATAGAATGAATTTCCCAATAGAAAGAGTTCTATTACCAGAAGAAAGGAGAAAAGAGGTCACTACATTCTTGCTGTTTCAAGTGTTGGCCAACCCAGTAGTAATGGCATCACCAGGGAGCTCTCTAGAAAAGCAGAATATCAAAATCTATCCCAACTTTCTAGTCCATATGGTGGCTTAGGTAAGTGCAGTACTTAAATCCTCCCACAACCACATCAAAAATGCAACTAAACTACAGAATAACCATCATTCAGAACCACCTGAAATCTAGTTGAATGGAAGACCTACAACTAGGGATTAAAGAAGAAGCCACATTGAGACTGGTAGGAGGGTGGAGACACAAAATGGGCTGGTTCCATACCCATGTGTGCTGGTTTAAAATCAGAAGGGATGCCCTGGCTAGAGCGTCGGCCCGCAGACCAGAGAGCCCCGGATTTGGTTCCCCACTAGGGGCACATACCTCGGTTGCAGTTTGTTTCCCAGCCCCACTTGGGGTTGTATAGGTGGCAGCCACTCAATGTGTCTCTCTCACATCGATGTTTTTCTCTCTCTCTCTTCTTCCCTTTTTCCCTCCCATTCTATCTGAAGATAAATGCAAAAATGTCCTCAAGTGAGGATAAAAAAATAATAATAATAAAATAAAGTCAGGGCCCTGGCCAGTTTGGCTCAGTGGTTGGAGTGTGGGCCTGCAGACCAGAGAGTCCCCGGTTAGGTTCCTGCTAGAGGCACGTACCAAAAAATAAAAAATAAAAAAATAAAGTCAGGAGGGACATCTTGTCTTTGGACATCTCCTCTGAGGAGGAAGGGTCACTACCCCACACCAGACACCCCCAGCCCAGGAAGACAAGTCCCCATAACTTCTGGCTGTAAAAACGAGCAGGGATTGTGGCTGAGTCCCTCCATATTAAAGGGTCTGCACACAGATTTACTCAGACTCACTCTTTCTGAGCTTCAGCACTGAGGCAGCAGCTTAAAAAGAAACAGGGACATACAAGAAGGAAGTGAATTATCTGGCATCGGGGAGAGAACTGGGGGGGGCAGCTTTCTGCCAGTTGAATGTGAAGGCAGAGACCATTGTTCCTTTTTTGAGACCCCTCCGCCTAACAGAGCCAGCAGATGAGTGCCATATCTGAGTCTCCGTTAACCTGACTCACACTGTTTGCCCCACCCTGGTGATTCTCTGAGATCCCACCCCACTCAGATTTGGGGCCCATCCAAGCTGTTTCCAGTGATTTTCCCATACAACTGGCCTCTCTTGACTCATGCTTCAGACTTTCTTAAAATCTCTCAAACAAGCATTATCTAGCCTCTGCATACCCTCTACATCTTGCTACGTAGCCCCAGGACTGGCATTAGTGGCAGCTGACTTGGTTCACAGCTTGGTCTCTCCTGGGCACCTCCAAGCACAACATGAGTAGCAACCATCTGCAGATTGCTCTGTAGCTTGTGCCAAGTGGCCCCAGGCAGAGCACAGGCAGTGGCTGACTGCATCTCTGGGAGGCCACAGAGCCAGTGCACCCAGTGGGCAGCTTCACACCACACTAGAGTATAACCCTACCACCTCCACGAACAACACACTCAAGGGGAAGACTTGATGAGCACCAAAGCAAGTCCTGCTCTGTAGAGTCAACTCCTGCATAGCGGCAGCTCAGCTGTAGTTACAGCTGGACCTCACAGACGATTAGCCTGTGGGACAATCCCTCCCAGTAACACCAACAGTAATCAAGTCTCACTACAACAGGACAGTATACACTGCCCACACAGTGGCACACCTGGAGCACCCAACTTTGGGTGACTACGGAGGCTGCACCACTGGGCCCTATAGTACAACTACTATACAAGGCCACTCTACCAAGTCCAAAAGATGTAGCAACTCTACCTAATACATAGAAACAAACATAGGGAAGCAGCCAAATGTGGAGATAAAGAAACAGGTCCCAAACGAAAGGACAGAAGGAATCTCCAGAAAAAAGAACTAAATGAAATGGAGGCAAGCAAACTACCAGATACAGAACTCAAGGAACTTAGTGAGAAATTCAACAGCATGAAAATGGACAAAGAATCCATAAAAAAGAACTAGTCAGAAATAAAGGGTACACTAACGGAAACAAAGCAAAATTACAGTGAATCAGTGGTAGAGTACGCCCTGGCCAGCGTGGCTCAGTTGGTTGAGCATCATCCTGGGCACCAAGAAGTCATCGGTTTGATTGCCACACAGGGCATATGCCTGGGTTTCAGGCTCGATCCCCAGTAGGGGGCACACAGGAAACAACCAATTGATGTTTCTTTTTTGTTAATCCTTACCCAAGGATTTTTTTTTATTGATTTTTTTAGATAGATTGGAAAGGAGGGAGGGAGGGAGGGAGAGAGAGAGAGAGAGAGAGAGAGAGAGAGAGAGAGAGAGAGAGAAAGAAACATTGATGTGAAAGAGACACATTGATTTGTTGCCTCCCACATTAGGGCCAGGGATTGAACCTGCAACCCAGGTATGTGCCCTTGACTGGAATCAAACCCAGGTCCCTTCGGTCTGCAGGCTAACACTCTAGCTGCTAAGCTAAATTGACCAGAACAGGTTGATGTTTCTCTCTCTCTCCCCCTTCCTTCCTCTTTCTCTCTAAAAAAATAAAAACACATTTTAAAAAAACAGTAGAGTAGATGATGCTAAGAATCAAATCAGTGATTTGGAATGTAAGGAAGAAAAAACCCAATTTGAACAGCAAAAATAAAAAGGAATAAAAAAATAAGAAGATAGTGTAAGGAGCCTCTGGCACAACTTCAAGCACACCAACATTTGCATCATAAGGTGCCAGAAGAAGAAGAGAGAGAGCAAGAAATTATAAACCTGCCCTGGCAGGTTTGGCTCAGCAGTTGGAGCATCGGCCTATGGACCAGAGAGTCCCAGGTTCAGTTCCCGCTAGGGACACGTACCAAAATATTTTAAAAAAAGAAATTGTAAACCTATTTAAAAAATAATGACAGAAAAATTTCCTTACCTGATGAACTCAGGACATACAAGCTCAGGAAGCACAGAGAGTCTCAAACATAATGACCCCAAAGAAGCCTACACCAAGATAACATTATAATTTAAATGCAAAAGGTTAAAGACAAAGAGTGAATCTTAAAAGCAGCAAAAGAGAAGCAGTTGGTTACCTACAAGGGAGCTCCCATAAGACTGTCAGCTGATTTCTCAAAGGAAACTTTTCAGACCTGAAGGGCATGGCAAGAAATATTCAAAGTGTTGAAAAGTAAGGATCTACAACCAACTTACTCTACCCAGCAAAGCTATCATTTAAAATTGAAGGACATATAAAGAGCTTCATCAACACCAATCCCATATTACAGGAAATGTTAAAGGGGCTTCTTTAAGAGGAAGAAGAAGAAAGATTTTTTAAATATGAACAATAAAATGGCAATAAATACATATCTAACAACTGAATCTAAAAATCAATGTAAAA